ACCCTCAGAGAGCTGCAGGGCTTCTGTCCGCTGGGTCCCAGGAGAGCTGCAGGGCTTCTGTCCGCTGGGTCCCCACCTCACCAGACCCCAGGGTTCAGTTCTCTTCCTCTCAGAGCTCATTGCCTCTCCCCTTGCTCCTTTTCAACCCTCCTACTCTCCATGCTCCTTAGAGTGGTCCCTGTCCCCGTGTCTTTGGTTTCCCTGCATCTGTGTGTCCTCGCTGTCTGTGCTCCCTCCACAATCACTGTGTGTCTGTTTGTCTGCCTCTTCTACAAACCCTGTTTCTCATCTCTGCGTTTCATCCCCTATCCACTCCTTTTTCACAAATCTATTCTTTCCATTTCCCTTCCTATTTTGCTCCTTCTTTTCCTGTTCTTACCCTATCACCCTTGCTCTGGTTTGTTTTCTTGACCTCTGGCCCTAGAGATCAATGATCCAGGCCCTTTGCCAGGGTTCTGGTAAACTGCACATCTCCACTCCCACCCCACAGGCAGGACTCTGCCCATGACTCTCTGATCAGGGACCAGTGCATTGCCAGTCCCTGCCCTCCTAGCTCCTTGTGCTCACTGTAGTGAGTTCAGGAAATACTCCTGTTCATCCAGTCAGGGTGACCTTGGCCTAGGCCCACTGTGTTGACTTTTCTGGTGGCCTGTGGTCCCTTCACTGGGATGAGACTTTCCCCCTGCTGTCATGGCTGACCTGAACTTGGGTCTACAATACCATTGCTCTTCAAGGTTTTCTGCCAATTCCCCAAGTCCCCTGCATAAATGGCTTCCTAAGAGTCCATCCAGTTGGCACCTTCCCAGGTCCTTCCAGCTGAGCCTGGGCTTTCTCATATGTAAACCCTGGGTGCCATATTCTTTCTCTTTTACAGTGAGCAGGTCAGGAAACCTTATAAGGTTTAGCTTATCTACTTCTGTTCAGTCGGTATGGAATCTGGCTTGCTTGCTGTCTCTTCACTTTCCAAAGCCATGAATTTCCACAATGTCACAACATAGGAAGATGGACCTCTTAATTTCTCTTTACTTTTGGAGTTCAGTTAGCTTAGAAGTTCTATTAAGTGCTTGTAGGTGGCTGAGCAGGTCTGTCAGGCCCCCCAAGTGTGGCTGAAGAGTTATCAATTTTCTCTCTCCTCTTCCTGACTCACTGTTCTCTATATGATGACTACTGAGTATGTTGTCATTCTCCCCTTCTATCTCTTTGAGAGACTTCTCCTGTCCTTTCATGCTTCCACTCTGCTAAAGTGGTAATTTCTTACAAGGATACTGATGAGTTGAATGGGATACTGATGTGTTGATGATGGAGCCTTAGAAACTGGAAAGCCTGATATGTAGCAGCTGCCCTATGGGACAGCAGGAGATATGTTCTAAAATCCTTCATGGAAACCTGAAACCATAGATAGTTCCAGCTCTATACACAGTACTTTTCCCATACACATACACATAAATTTTGTGCCTTTTCCATCTTAACTAAGCACTGAGGCTGTAACTTTTGCAGTTTGAGGTGTGACTGCAAGACTAGCATAAATCTCATTTTCCTTCTTCATAATTTCACAGATGGAAAATTTGTTCTTACCATTGATCTTAGCATTCTTAGTGTACAATTCTTTCTCTTTCTAAAGAAAGAACTTTTTAATTTGAAGGAATAGTTTTGCAGTTACTCTTCAATGTATTTGAACTGCTGGCATTAATAATTTTACACTTTGGTCATTATTATGTATGTTGAATTCCTGAAGCACAAGCGCTGTGGTACCAGTTCTCTCTAGTAATTGAGATAGCAACTGAGTGAGTAATGGATGGGTAGCATATACAGCATGGATACACATCTCAAAAGCATGATTCACATCCTGGCAGAATTAGAACAGTGTGCTGGCTCATTGTTTGTCAGTTTAACACAAGCTAGCGTCATCTGAAAGGAGGGAACCTTAATAGAGAAAATATATCCATAAGATCAAGGTCTAAGGTTTTACTCTTTTCTTTCTTTTTTTCTTAGACAGGGTTTCTCTGTGTAGCTTTGGAGCCTGTCTTGAAACTCACTCTGTAGACCAGGCTGGCCTTGAACTCAGAGGTCCACCTGCCTCTACCTGCAAAGTGCGGGGATTCAGTGGGGGAGGGTCTAGCCCATTGTGGATGGTGCGATCCCTGGGCTGGTGATGGTCCTGGGTTTTATAAGAAATCAGGCCGAGCTAGTCATTAGCGTCAATCCAGTAAGCAGCACCCCTCCATGGCCTCTGCATCAGCTCCTGCCTCCAGGTTCCTGCCATGACTTCCTTCAGTGATGTGGAAACATGAGCCAAATAAACCCTGTCCTCCCCCAGTTGCTTTTGGTCATGGTGTGTCATCACAGCAATAATAACTAAGACAAATGGGGTGGTAAGAGGTTTCATCCTACTTCTCCAAATGATGTGCAATCTTAAATTGGTGGGATTATTTATGTCTAGAATAGTCTACATATATTTTGGAGTCAAGAGTGACCATGGCTAACTAAAATTACAAAACACAAGCCGATGGCTTAAATGTGCTTGTCAGATGCCAACTGTCTACCTGGGTGGTGTTTCAAGTTGGCTTACTCTTCACTGATGTTTTACTGATCTGCACTCAGAACAATTTTACTCGCAGATGACTGAGCAGGAGTGTGCTTGCTTCGCTCCTAGCACTCTCACACCCCTGGGCTTTAGCTTTCTAGAGGGTTCTGCATTAAGTGTGAGATAGAGGGTCTTCTGCTCTCTGCAGGGATTCCCTTACAGCACTGTGGCCAGGCATGGTCAGCATGCTCATTGTGGACACCTCGTCACCTTTGCACAATAGGCTTAGTGGTGCATAATGGTGTGTTGGGTGTCACAGCGGTCCACGATTTACTTATTGTGTCACCTCCAGCACATTGGCTGAAACCCCCATGAGGCCCAATTTTCCATGTTGTTAAAATGACAATGAAGAAAGCACCTTTGGCATAGCATTGTGAAAAGCCAGGAAAGTGCCTATCCCAGGCCTATGATGTAAGTGTTCAGTAAGTGTAACTGTTTTATTATTATTTCACAAGGCAGCCTTTGCATGGCTCTAAGCTGAACTGGCCTCCCAATAAATTGAAGAGGGCCTGCTTCTACCACATAGAAGTGTCTAATCCCCCTTGTATAAACCCTTCAAATGTCTAGAGACACCTTTCATGTCTGCTCTAAGTCTTCCTCAATAGAAGTGTCTTCAGTACCATATCTTATTACTCATATTTTCCATGCTTTCCAGACCCTTTGTCATGTAGGTCACTGCCTTTTGTGTACATTTGTCAGTGTCTTTCCAAAAATATAGCCGCCAGAACTGAAGGTAAGACTTTGAATTTGGTCATCCACCCAGAGTACAGTGGGACAGTGACCTTGATCTGGATCCTGTGAAAAGTCGAAGCTCTCATTAGTGTGTGCTGCTGGGTGTCTATGTTGAATGGTGGCTTAATGGTCTGCAACCAACTAAAAATTTTCATATGAGCCTGCTGAGCCTGGCTTTGTCATACTTGCCAAACTAACTTTTCCATGACTGCAGGACTGGTGAACATGTGTTCAGCTGTGCTCTATTTATTTTGACTAAGAGTTGAGATCTCTTTTTAATTTCAGTGCGTGAGTAGATCAATACATTTCCATGTTCAAAAATCAAAGAGATACAAAGACAGACAATGAGAAGCTCCCACACATCTTGTTCCAGTCCATCCTGTCTTCCCTCTTCCCACATTGGCTGTTACTACAACATTCTTAGTTTCTGATATATCCTCTGGAGTTTACTTTTACAGGTATAAAAGAATACCAATAATAGCCCTCATCTTTCACTCCTAATTTTAAATAACTGGTAGAATAGGATACACACAACTCTGAACTCAGCAAGATTTTACAAAACAATGCCTGAGGTCCCTTTGAACCTTCATTCTTTTATCTAACACAGTTAAATGTTTCCCAGTCTTGAGATATGTGCACATATTGTAGCATGCCATCAGTGTCTTTAGACAAGTTGTAGATAGAAATGTTTCGAAAGCTGGGGACCTCCACCATGGCCATACCCCACTTTGTGTTATCATTTATCTGCAAACACATTCTAAGGTACATAGTATCCTGCCTTTCACTGACACAACTGGTCAGGCTTGTTTTTAATCCATGTGTCCCCTTATTCACAGAATAGAGCACAAATCCATCTAATATCTCATTAAAGAACTAACTTCCTACCAGGGTGTGGTAGCATACACCTTTAATTCCAGCACTCCAGAGGCAGAGGCAGGCCAGTGTGTTCCAGGACACTCAGGGCTACAGAAAGAGACCCCATCTAAAAGAGGGGAAGAAAGGGAGACAGACAGACAGACAGACAGACAGACAGAGAGAGAGACAGAGAGAGAAGAAGAGGAGGAGGAGGAGGAGAAAAGAAGAGAGAAAAGAGGAAAGAAAAGAGGAAAAAGAAATAACAAGCTTCTTGGGATTGAGGAGATGATGACTCAGTGAAGTTTTCATCATGCAAGTATGAGGACCTGAGTTCAATCCCCAGTGCACACATAAAAGCCTGAAACACTGGTGCAAATCTGTGATGTCAGTGCTGGGGAAGCAGAGACAGAAAGACTCATAGCACTTATATGGCAATGCCTGGAGACATTTTCGGCTGTTCTTACAGAGGTCCTGAATTCAATTCCCAGCAACTACATAGTGGCTCACAATCATCTATAAAGAGATCTGGTGCCGTCTTCTGGCCTGCAGAGACACATGCAGGCAGAACCCTGTATAATAAATAAATAAATAAATAAATAAATAAATAAATAAATAAATAAATGAAATCTTAGCTGGGTGGTGGTGGCATATGCTTTTAATCCCAGCACTTGGATCTCTGTGAGTTTGGGGCCAGCCTGGTCTACAGAGTGCGTTCCAGGACAGCCTCCAAAGCTATACAGAGAAACCCTATCTCGAGAAACAAACAAAAGAGTGAAAGAGAAGACCATAAGTAAGGAGAGGCTGGAAGAGCATAGACTGTCTTGAATACCTGTGGAGCCGTCCAGGAAGTTTAGGAGTAAACGCGAGCAGCAGACAGATGAGAGTTGAGTCATCTAACTTCTCCAAGTTTCGATTCCTTCATCTGTTAAAAAAGAGAGAGAAGAAAAGGAGAAGCTGCAGAAGCAGCCACTGCTACAGAGTGGAAGGGATCAGTGAAGTCTTCTTCGAAAGGTTAGCTCAGTGGTTAAGTTTCCCTGCACGTGGTTACTGGCCTGCAGATGCAGCCATAGTAGAATGCTTGTCCAGCACGTTTCGAGACTCCAGATTCCATTCCTAATATTGCTAGAAAACACACTCAACATAAACAGTGTGATACCTGGAGCCCCAAGGTTGCGAAGAGCCAGGTCTCAAGGTCTTTGTGTGTCGGACCAAGGAGGAGGGCAATAGTTTGGGCCGTGAGAAGCTTTGACAAGCTTTTGAGAAAAGACACATGAATCAAACTGTTGTAGGTCAGCTTTTGGTACCTCTACGAGGTAGGCTGTCAAGGAAGGCCGCATAGAGACAGGAAGAGCAGCTGACCCAGGAAAGTGAGTTTGGTTTTTCACTAGAGACTCTGAAGCAAGCAACAGAGACTTAGCACAGCCCCAGGCCCACTGCTGCTCTGAGGTCCTAGAGGAGAGTGTGGGGCTCTGGCCCCTCCCTGTTGGCCTCTTCTTCCACCACCCTCTTCTAGCCTCCCCATGACAGCTGCGGTGCCCACCCCCAGTCCCTGTTTGGAGCTGTGATTAATACAGGTTTAAAATAATCTTTGTCTTCTCCCTTTGTCCGCCCCCAGTGCAGCCGCTGTTCTCCCCCCATCCCCCACATCGTCACCCTCTGCTGAATTAGCCACACCTCACAAACCAGCCTGGGTGGGCGGGCGCTACTTTAGCCTAGAGAGAGGCCTTTGCTCACACCCCATTCCTCAGAGTGACCTCCACAGGTACCCAGACTAGGAGCAGCTCACAGAGTTGCCCTTCCAGATCTCTTCTTGGTCTCCAAAACTCCACAGAGGTCTCTTCCTAAGAGTTTTGGGCACAGGACGGACGCAGGGGACCCACCAGTACATAACACCCATCTCAGACGATGACCCTGAAAAGCACAAGGCCCTGGATGGACACCGCCACTGAATGCAGGAAGTGTTGCCTCACTCCAGTGTAGGGCCATAGTCAGTACTTTCTGCCTTACATTGGAGTCTATACCTTAGCTCCTCCATCCATCCTCTGACTTTGTTTTTTTCTTTCCCTCTCAAAGAAAAATTGTTTTTACTTCTCTGCTAATAGTTTCAAGCTGTAGGAAATGCCATCCCATGAAACAGAAGAAGAAAACTAAAGTTAAGTGGCTTTCACAAGATAAGAGCAAAAACTCTGCAGGAGGCCAGATCCAGCAGCCAGCCTCTCTTGGAGGCATCACCCACCTCTTACCCACAAAGCCTCTGGGTTTCAGCTTATACATCCTACATTTACCAAGGCATCGTAGTGTTCCCTCCTTTCTTCCTTTCCCAGGTATGCCTGATAGTTAATAGACAGTTGACCCTCAGAGCCACATGACTGAGGCAAGAACAATGCTTCTTAAGGCTCCTGCCTTGTGTTTATACACATGGATAGCTGTTCAGGCATGGCTAAGGGAAATCACCATGGAATGAATCAGAGGCTATTAATGACCATCAAGCTATGGGTTGTTAAAAGTTGAAGAGATACAGAGGTCGTTTTCTCACCCCTTCTGTTTTATAGAGAAAGAAATTGAGGCATAGAGAGTAGGGAGCACTCAACCATCAGTAAACTGAGGCATAGAGAGAGAGCAGGGAGCACTCAGAGCCATCAGGAAACTGAGGAATAGAGAGCAGGGAGCACTCAGAGCCTCAGGAAACTGAGGAATAGAGAGAGAGCAGGGAGCACTCAGAGCCATCAGGAAACAGGAATAGAGAGAGAGCAGGGAGCACTCAGAGCCTCAGGAAACTGAGGAATAGAGAGAGAGCAGGGAGCACTCAGAGCCTCAGGAAACTGAGGAATAGAGAGAGAGCAGGGAGCACTCAGAGCCATCAGGAAACTGAGGAATAGAGAGCAGGGAGCACTCAGAGCCTCAGGAAACAGGAATAGAGAGAGAGCAGGGAGCACTCAGAGCCTCAGGAAACTGAGGAATAGAGAGAGAGCAGGGAGCACTCAGAGCCTCAGGAAACTGAGGAATAGAGAGAGAGCAGGGAGCACTCAGAGCATCAGGAAACTGAGGAATAGAGAGAGAGAAGGGAGCACTCAGAGCCTCAGGAAACTGAGGAATAGAGAGAGAGCAGGGAGCACTCAGAGCCATCAGGAAACAGGAATAGAGAGAGAGCAGGGAGCACTCAGAGCCTCAGGAAACTGAGGAATAGAGAGAGAGCAGGGAGCACTCAGAGCCTCAGGAAACTGAGGAATAGAGAGAGAGCAGGGAGCACTCAGAGCATCAGGAAACTGAGGAATAGAGAGAGAGAAGGGAGCACTCAGAGCCTCAGGAAACTGAGGAATAGAGAGAGAGCAGGGAGCACTCAGAGCCTCAGGAAACTGAGGAATAGAGAGAGAGCAGGGAGCACTCAGAGCCTCAGGAAACTGAGGAATAGAGAGAGAGCAGGGAGCACTCAGAGCCTCAGGAAACTGAGGAATAGAGAGAGAGCAGGGAGCACTCAGAGCCTCAGGAAACTGAGGAATAGAGAGAGAGCAGGGAGCACTCAGAGCCTCAGGAAACTGAGGAATAGAGAGAGAGCAGGGAGCACTCAGAGCCATCAGGAAACTGAGGAATAGAGAGCAGGGAGCACTCAGAGCATCAGGAAACTGAGGAATAGAGAGAGAGCAGGGAGCACTCAGAGCCATCAGGAAACTGAGGAATAGAGAGAGAGCAGGGAGCACTCAGAGCCATCAGGAAACTGAGGTATAGAGAGCAGGGAGCACTCCGAGCCATCAGCTATAGGACAGTGGGTCAACTTTCAAGGCTGTGCTCTCCACTCTGCCCTAGAGGCTGTCCAGGACTCTGCTGTGCCACTTGAGTTATAAAGGCTGCTTCCATAACCTGTCTCTTGGAGTGACAGTGAAGGTGACACAACATACAGAGTAGCCAGAGACAGGGGGTTAGGAAAGGATCGAGTGCTGTGGAAACAATCCCTGACTTAAAAACTTGAGAACCCAGTTATTTGGATGAAATGAGGTGCAGACAGACAGCTGGCAGGGACTTGTGCCCACCTGGCCCTGGACAGGTGCTCACTTGCTTCAGGCTGAACTGGGCACCCAACAACATACAAGCCACCTCTCTGCTCTGTTGAGTGAGAGAGAGAGCCTAGGAGCTCTGGTTTGTATCAGACAGGCTGATGAATGCTCAGTCAGTCCTGACTGGGGGTGGGGAGGGGGACGATGGCGACAGGGAAATGTGTCCCTTTGGGTAGAAAGGAGGCCGAGTATGTTTGATGGCCTGGATGGAGTCAGGCTAAATATTTAATGTTCTTGACAGAGACCTGGAGGAGTCTGTCCCTTTCTCTAAGCAGTGACACGCCAGGCTCCCAGCCTGGGAGAGGGAGGAGCTGGCAGCTGGGGCCCTGTGAGCTACTTCCAGCTGCTGCTTGTAGAGACCCAGGAGGAGGAGCTGGGGAAGGGACAGGGGTAAGGGAGTGAAGGGCTGGTGCAGAGTGACGTTGAGGTGCAGGGAGCTGGCACGGAATGAGAGCTTTCTTTATTAAAAAAAATAGCAGTTCATTCTTTACATTTGGAATAAAAACCTGTTGTAATTACCTAGCAGTGGGAAAGCAATTTCCAAGCAGCTTTATTGTTCTGCTCCCCAACCAAATGTGCAAGGAAACATCCACCAGGGACGAGCGAGAGCGAAGGCACACCGCAGTAACTATGATATTTAAATGTTTCCACAGTAGAAATTTCAATAAGGTTTAAATGAACCATAAGTTGATTTCTCTCCGGATTATTCTTTTCCTCCTCTTCCTTTATTACTTAAGACATTGTGCTCCTAAGCTGTACTCATATGGCCCTAGCAGAGCTGTCCCAGCAGGAAACTTCAAAACATTATTGGTTACCATTCAGAGTGCCTCCCTCAGTGCCTCCCTCTTAGTCCTGGCCCCAAGGAACATGAGCTCCTGCCACCCACCTGAGACATCGGCTGGGTCACCTGAGGTCTCAGGGCTCCTGCCTCATATCCCCCAAGGAATCATGTGTAAGTTCACCCTGCATGGCTGCACATCCCGAGACCCTTGCCTCCTACAGGAATTGGAAATCAAGACGAGTAAGGATCCAGTTCTAAGCCTTTAGCTGTCAGGGCATGTCAGGTCCAGGCAGGGCTGGGAGTGTGGCAGCAAGGTGAGTCTGAAATCAGAATGTTTAGATTTTTCTTTATCATCATCAAGAAGCATAGGCTAGTCCATCTGTGAATATCTAATAAGAGCGCTAATAGTACCTAAAATATTTATAGTGCTTCAGTAGCCCCCCATGCACACTCATACACACAAAATTCACTCTTACCACAGTCCTAGTGATTGTCAATAAAATCCCATTTTCAGATGAGTAAACACATTCAAAGAGCTTAAGCCACTTCCCCAAACCCTTACAGGTAGTGTTGGCGATGGGAATGATGCCAGATCCTATTGCTAAACTCCACCACCTGCTTACCTGACTCAAGTCACTATCACAGAAATACTGACTCCTTAGAAGTCACGTGTTTGAAATGTTGTGGATGAGCCAACAGCAGAATAGGTATGAGGGGAAGGGGGATTCCTTGGGGACTGTGCTGGCTACTTTATGTCATCTAGAAAGCGAGACCCTTACTTGAGAAAATGTCCCCACCAGATTGGCCTACGGTATTTTGTATTGATTGGTGATTGATGTGGAAGGGACCGGTTCACTGGGCTGGTGGTCCTGGTTGCTATAAAAATGTAAGCTGAGCAAGCCACGAGGAACAATCAGTAAACAGTGTTCCTTGGTGGCCTCTGTTTCAGGCCCTATCTCCATATTCCCTTGCCTTGAATTCCTGTCCTGACTTCCCTCAGTGATGGCGTGTGACCTGAGAGTTGTGGGCTGAATTCAACCCTTTACTTCCCAAGCTGCTTTTGGTCGTTGTAGCTTATCATTGCAACAG